CATCAAGAATTTAAAAAGTTCACCCGTTCATCTGTTTCCAACAGCATTCTTGGAAATAAAGCTGATGCTATAGGTTGTTGGTTTTGCAGCATGCTTGTTTCCTATTCTTTTTTTTTAAATTAAAATATTCTAAAATCTGTTAAAAATCAGGCAGGAGAGGAATCATAACAACTGCTATGGAAAGTTTAGGGGAACAAACATATATTTTCTTACTAACTTGAAGCTTGTTTTAAAGTGAACTCTGATTAATATTAATTCTAATTCAGACTATAATGTGGTGGTAGAGAACAAAAGCAACAGCGGCAACAGGAATCCCACAGCTTATAAAAGCCCCATCCTTAGGCAAACTTATGAGTTATTATTTGATTTATGATAACATCCATAATTAAGTAACATATTGTGAAGTGCATTTCAGCTCTTCCTAGAACTCTGTGGCTTTTATTTGGCAATTCTGATGAACCCTCTATGAAGAAAGATTAAACTTTATGAAATTTGTTTGAATTTAAGCAGGATTAAACCACCAAAAGTGAATTTATTTTAACTATATGACATTTTAATAAGATAATTAAAACTTTAAATAAATTACTTTAAATGGCTAAATCTCAGATTGGTGTAAATTGTAATTTTTAAATATTACAGCTAAAGTGAAACCATCTGTTATAAAAACCATCTGGTTTGTTTCAAGCTGGATAATTACTATCTGTTTCCAAGTCTGAGTCAAAACAAGAAACACCTTCAGCCATTTTCCAAAATAAATCTTATGAATAATGGAATACATTCAACTTGTACATAGTTAAGTCGGATTTAAACACAAATCCATTTGTTAAGTATGCATCCAATCCAAGTCAAAATTAAACATTTTAACATTCCATTGACTTAAATGAAAGGGATCATATATTGGTAAATACAAAGTTTCTAAGTACAAGCACCTGAAGCTGTCTCATAACAAATTAAGTTTCTCAAATTTCAACTAGTGCAATATAGCTATAAAGATGTTCAACTGATTAGACAGTCGAAGCATGCAGGGGCACTAAGCTGGAATCAGAGCATTTGTATGTCCAAATGGTTGGGGTCTGGTTACCTAAAGGACCACATTAATTTATCCCTGTGTTTTAGGATGTACCTCAGAAGCCTTGTTTGTACATTGGGGCCAGCGAGCTTTGTTTGCCTCAGTTTCTTCAGTCTCCATTTTGGTGGAGAGTGCCAGCTTATGAACAACCTTCTAACAGACCTACATATAGCCCACTTTGATTCAAGCCCTTAACTAGCTTTTAAAAATTGTTTCAGGCTGCTTCTTCATTTCTAGGGCTGTTGATTTTTTAACTACATGAGTTACCTTAAATTTCTTAAGCTACCGTTTTTAAAGAAATGTTTGTTTTGTTATGAACTGTTTTGTTAAATGTTGTTTTAAACTATATTAACTAAAACCATTTCAATGGCTATAATGGACATACATATCCATCATACTATTCCCTTTTAAGGTAAGCAATGCTATGCAAAGTGCAGAAAAGGAGTATAATATACTAAGTGAAAGATTAAGACATGAGGTAAGAAAAATAACTAAATCTACTTTCCACCAACACCTTTCACTATACCTCTCCATACCTAATTATCCTCACGTTCTCCAATTCCATATACTGCTTGACACATTGCCTTTTGTTCCTCAAACTTACCACATATCTCTTTTTGAGGATCTCATCAACTCCATTCAAACTTTAAACGCAACTTTAAATAATAACCCAATGGAGCTATCTATTACAAATGGCACCCATTTTGCTCCAAGGCATTATGTTAACATCCATTTCAAACTTACAAAAATGATTTCTTGCCTATTCAATACTAGACTAATTTAAGGCATTCTAATTACTGAAAAGACATATGTGGGCAATTACAGTAACTAATACAGAAACTTTATAGAAAGGTATTTTTCCTAAATTCATTCCTTACCTGTGGCTTATATCTGATTAAGCTTGCATACAATAAGAAAAATCCAGTAACCCATACAATCCAAATTCTTGCTATGCCATAAACTCATTGTGATTCTTTTATCAGATATTTTAAAGGAAATGTTGCAAGCAGCTTTTATTTGATAACTGAACAATTTACAAAACTAGCATATGGAAATTATAAGTTTATAACTTGTTTTGGCATATTTATGCATTATTCAAATTAAGAAACCACATATAAAATTATGGCCATCAAGTTATTGTCAGCTCTTAGACCTCACATATAAAATTAAAGGTGTATAACATGTCTTTGTTAAAAATAGACTGGAATACTTTCCTTATTTATTTATATTTTTCATACTTCAAAGTAGGACTATTATTTTTAAAAAAAATATTGCATTATTTAGAAACAAAAATGCTGGACTACTGAACAGTCTACTTCAGCATTTTTAGAAGTTATTTCTTTCTGAAAGCTTCCAAGAATATAATTTGCTCAATTTCATTAAAATTAGGGCATGCCATTACAGAAACTAAGTAAATATTTTGGTGCTGACAAATGCATCTTTTATGAAAGAGGTTTTGAATTAAAACAGGCCCACACAATTTCATTCTGTGGAACTATTTCAGATAATGGCAGCTCTTTAGCAATTAATTTTGCAAAGAAGCTGTTTAGGCAAAGCTCAACTTGTTTCTAAAGAGACAGATGTTCTGTTCAAAGTGTAAGACTTCAGGCAAAACAACATCAGAGGCAGCATTGCTGTAAAGCCATACGCATGTATTTTTCATGTATGCACTTTAAAATATGCGTAAATATTATTTCTTTCATATAAAAACCTGACCTAAACAATTTAGGGTCCAATAAGATTAAATACCTAATTCACAACAGTGCAGCATCTATAGAAGAGATTTAAAAAAAAAGTTTAAATGCAGTGGATATAAAAAATAACTTATTTTTTGGCCTCGCTTCCTAGAAATACTGTTTTAAGGAACAAAAGTCAGAAGAATTAGATAAAAACAGCTTACTGCCATCTATTTTTGTAAAACAATGTCAAATAAAACTCACAGAGACAAAATACCAAAATTCCACAACTTTTTCTTTGAATAATTAAGAATCCCAACCACAAAGTCACACTGCTAAAACTAGAGACTGCTCATTTTGGTGGAGTAGCATGAAATACAGAGTTACTGAAAACATTTTTTTAAAAATTACCAAGTTTGGGACAGTGTAAAAAGTACTCACCAATACATATGTTTTCTTTCTTTCATTTCCATATTAAGACTTTTCTACTTTGTTTTTGAAAGTTTAAAAAAACCAACACCCTTACAATATTCAAGAAAATTACTGTATTGCTTACTTTATAACATCAAAATTAAAAAGTCAGTAATAATGACTTAAAAAGAAGAAAATCACAAATAACAAAAGTTTCTTCAAACAATAAAGCTTAATACACTCATCCTGGCATCTCAGTCATGGAGAAACCCTGCAAGTTGGTTGCCGATTCTCTGAGGTAATTGCAGTAAAAAATTGCCACATTCTTCATTTCTGTATGGTTTCTCAACTACAGCAGATCAGAACAGACTAGCAAACGGCAGCTTCACAAATGAAAGCTCTAAATTCTTCTTCTGCAGTAAAGTGAACCAGGTTTCAGAGCTCCAGAATAAATGACAGTGTTGCCAGCCAATCAGCTTGTGTTTTTCAAGAAAATCATCCCTTAATACATTCAAAATTAGGTCATCTGACACTGTTTGAAATGCTACTGGCTTAGAACAAGCATAGTGTTTTAGCCTAGTTAGTAAAGCCACCCATGTATGCCTTCTTAGAATGAAGACATCCCTTGAATATATTAAATACTGTTGATATTTTTTTCAAAGAAAATAATACAGACTTACCAAAGCTTCCCAACTATTAAAGGGACGGAGCTCCATTATTCTCTGAGCCTTTTTCTGAGAACACTGTGGAATCAAAGTGAGTTCACCAAGAGAAGCATCTTGAAGAAAACTAAGAATTTTAGCTCTATAACCATCTTCCATCACTTCATCACCACTGCTATAGTCCTCATCAAGGGAGCTACCAGCTTCTGAAGCAGATTCATACTCCAGCTCCTGTGAATCCTTTTTAGTACTCCAAATCTTTTTCTTTTTTTCTTTTCTCCTGAAGCCATTCTCAGATGTTTTGGATGATTTCTCTTTGAGCCTCACATTAGTGTCATTCTGGTGGTAATGGGTATTATTAATTGATACCCCCTTTCCATTTGAAACTTCACTTTTGGAAGGATATTGTGCATCTGTATATATAACATAAACGGATACAGACAATTTGGGAAGTGAGGACAAAAGCAAAAACAAACAAAACCCAATAAAGCTAGCAGAAGTCTAAAGAAGCACAATGAAGTTGCTTCTGTTCAAATGTAACAACCTTTTAGATTCAGTGCAGCTCTCTTGCCCAATTTCGCTCCTGTTAAAATGATCTGAAGCAGTCAGAGAACATTTCAGAGCAATATTTGACAAGTTATTTGACAAGGTACTACAAGAAGCACTAATTTATGAAGGTTTTTCTTGTATTGTGAGTATCACACTGGCAATGAATGGATAGTGGGGAGAACATGTTATTTATCTATTCTGTAGCACTGATAAAGTCAAAGTATTCTTACTTCACCACATTATTTCATTAAGTAATTGCTTAGTAGAGATTTCATGGCTGGTGAATGAGCTGTTAAAACAGTCCTAGTGGAAAACTAGAAAAGGCTGCCATGAACTATTTCTGAGGTATTCAGAGAGTATTTGGATACCAGTGCTGTCTCTGCTGTGATGTTCTGAGCATCTTCTGCTTCTATTGAATCAGTTTCAGTCGTGGGCAGAATATATGGAGGGATTTGGACAATCTCCTGCATTCTTGAATATGTGCCCATCTTGGATTTTAGCAGCAAGTCAGTGGAGACTGATTGCATGGAGTCCAGGAATATTTCTTTAAAAAGTGGGTAATGTTTCCAGGCATGAACATTCAGTTCCTTCTTGAGAAGTCCTCTTCAGTTATCTCGCAGTCACAAATATCTACTTTTGATAAAAAATCTTCAACTCCACAGCCTGTCATGGACTCACAAAGCACCATTTCATTTGCCATACTATCTATACAAAGCTGTGAGGTCATGTCATAATCATTCAATCATTATGGTAAAGTTATCTATCCTTCTATGTTATCAAATTCAAACAAAACTGTGCAGCTGCTGTGTTAGTGCTTGGAAGTTAGTACTGAGCTAGATGATAAACATTAGTTGAATTCAGAAAGATGGAGAATATAGGTGGTCCTCATATCTAGAAATCAGATGAATATTCTGTTCTAGATGGGTTACCACACTTCTGAAAAAGCATGCAAAGTACATAGCTTTTCAATTAAGGCCCTGCTGAACTTTCTGAGGCAAAGATGGTTTCATTATAGGGACTCACACTTCCTGTATGTAATGTCAGTATCTATGTTTGGCCTATGCTCAGATATTTTAAATACATCCGAAAGGGGCAATGAAACTTAACCAGAGGAGAGCATGTTAAAATGATAAAATAGCTGTATATTTGCTTCCAAGCCCACTTCAAGATGCTGGCCCTTACCTTTAAGTCATAAATAGCTTGGGACACAATACTTACAATACCAATTCTTCATACACCAACTTGTTCGTGTCTAAAAATTTTCAGAATATACATTGCCCCAAGTTCTTTTGCTAGAAAATCATTTTGTAAGAATGAGACAGAGGGCTTTCTTCACAATGACAGTCTCACTAGTAACTATCTCATGAAATGGTGCTGATAATGTTGTTTTAAGTCTGCTTAAAACTTATTTGCATAATAATTTATTTTCTTCATTTATTCTGATGTTGTATGCTTTTATTTTTTTTTACTACGTCTTATATTTTTATATTACATTGTGATATATTTTGCTTCTTATGCCTCCTGATTCACTAAGTTAAACAAAATCCATACAGAATAATTTTTTAAATCTCTTTCAAACCTTTTATTAAAAACAAGTTATGCAACTCTTTGAATATCTGGGCAGTAAGAAGGATGCATGCTTCCTCAGTTAATGGTATATACTAATTAAAAGGAAGATATCTTTACCCTCTTGATCTTCCATAAATGCTTTTAAAGAATCCAGAGCTTCTTGATATATCCAGTTGTGTTCTTGAAGTACATCTCTCAATTCCTAATTCACAAAATAAAAAACAAATCCTGTATGATCACAGGATTAATAAACCATACAATACACATAGAGATCTTGTTATCAGAATTGCACACATAGTCATCTTAGTCTCATTAAGAAGCACTTCAAGAAAGAATCTCAGCATTTAGAACTATAATGACAACGTACAGCATACTAACTCTACAAGAGCCTTTATATTTTATCTGATAATTAAGGCTAATATTGCTATAGGCAGAATAAATGCAACAAACTAATCCAAATTTGCCAACAATTTTGCATGACTACCTTCCAATGATAATTTTTTATTCAACTTTTAAATATTAGTCACCAATATGGCTAGATTACAGTTACTATATTTAGTATTCAAGCAAAGTTTGAGTGCCAATATTGTGGCATACAGGAAAAAAAAAAGGATATTAGCAGGTCTGGAGGAACTTCAAAAATACAAAGAAGATAGATCGATCAATCGATCCAAAATGAGAATAAAATGGAAGAGCACCCTTGAAAATAACAAAGCTTGGAATACTCTACACATTTTGATGCAACTATTTGCCTTCTAATCATTGTTTACCATTAAAATGTAAAATATGGTATTTTACATTTTAATGGTAAAATAATTTAAAAAGCCAAAATAATTTAAAAAGCACTATATCTGAGACAAGTCTTATGGATGTTTATTCAATTAAAAGTCTCAATTTTAGTGAGGCTTTCAATCCACTAACCTTTACGTCAGATTGAAAACTTGGTTAGGAAAGGAGGGAATGCCAAAAACCCATAATTACATTTTAAAGTGCTCTCAAATTCCTATAGGTATAAGTGACAGACATGCAAAGTCTTTAATGGTGTCACAGCAGTGTTTCAATGCAACAGAACCTACACAGGGAACTGAGTTATTATGTTTCTTTTATTCTTGAACCTTTTATTCTTGAATCTTATTCAACAGATGTGGCAATTAATATGGATCTATTTATATATCTGCATAAAATACATATTGTGTCAAGTACAACCATACCTCTTTATCCAAGCTAGGAAATTCTTTGTGCAGTTTGCTTACTAAATTTTCACGCTTTTCCCACTGGTTTTCGGGATTTTGCAACTATGGTTGAAAAAAAAAGGAATTTATTTTGCAATTCAGCTCACTCTACTAATTAGATTACTAAATAAATACACATAAATTTAAACATTTTATAAAAGTATTAAAATAATCCTAAAAACCTTACATATATATCATCCTTTAATGAAAAAAAAAACAATGACCAGAAAACACAGGTAAACTAGCATTGCTTCAGTTTTATGGCTGGATCTAAACATTCTCTTTCTCAGAATGAAACTAGTGTTTCAGATACTGATGTGAAATTTGGAAACTTCATCTTTATACAGTCATACATCACACACATACACATACACACACAAAGGTCTATGACTATACCCAAAAGCTGTAGCTTAATCAGAGATGTGCGACTATAGTTTTTATATATCTATATCTATCTCTCTACTTGGAGATGTAATTTCCAAGCTACAAATAGTGAAGACTTAGTTAAAAAAAAAAAAGGTTTTAATCTAAGACAGGTGTGCATAGTCTATGCCCCCAGGACTTTTGGAACTCCAAAAGTTGATACCAAATTGTATTTTAGCATGTAACAGAAGGAGGGAATTTTTAAATAAATATGGAGTAATCGTATTACCTGCAGTTATTTAATTTAACTAATTTTAAATTAGTTTTTTGTCCTGGTCCACCTACTTCTTTATCCAGACACTGCAGCCCATGCCTATCACTAAAGGATCAAATACAGACAATGGTACAGAGAAGTTGTGCAACCTGGCTCAAGACAATGTTTAGCATTTAATGATGTAGCTCAAGCAGCCACATCACCATTAACTGAGAAAATGAAATAGATGAAAAATCTATTTAAGAGCAGAGGAAGGAGAGCCAGACCCTTAATACGTTAAGCCAGTATTGTCAACAAAGACTTACAGTGGTTCTTTGGTGTCTCAATGAGGAATTGTTCCACTTCTGTGCAGAGTTATCAGGGACCGAATATGAAGTTTGCATTCAACTGCTTTTACTATTGAGTTTCACTCTTAGTTTGGGTTCTTGTATTTATAGAAAATATGACCAAATACTCACAGGATCAAGCTTTTTCTTTTTTGCACTTTGGTCATCCTTATCTTCAGGACCACCCACTGCACCTTCTTCGAGCTTTCTCTTTCGAGATCCTCCTTTTAAAATAAAAAGGGATATTAAATTAATATTTGAAAAGAACTTTCAGTCTAATATCTAAGTGATTCCGGTTGTTTATATTATTTCAGGAAATCAAAATAGTTAATTAATATAATAAACCTATGTAGGGCAGTCTTAGAAATTTACAGTATACTCACAATCTTAACTTTCTCATCAAAATGAGTAATACTTTAGAATGATTAGCTGTCCCATCTCCATGTTTTGAAGCAGTTATTTCCTATACATGTTCCAGACAATATTTCCAGTTCTGTTCATGCTCCCACATTATGTATTTGTACAGTGTATGTAAAGAGATGTATATCATTTAATGGTAAATCTATTGCACAAAAATAACTTCTCTAATGGTATATAAATACATAAAAAGCATTATGATACTATCCTAATATTGAAATTATGCTTGCCTCAGATACTATCATCTCTATTGTTCTGTTACCATCATCATCATCATCATCATCATCATCATCATCTCTATTGTTGTAGAGTAAAACACGAAGTACAATCCAGATAATTGCATGATTTCATACCTTGCATATATAAGGTTATGTTTCTACTCATCAACCCCGCCCCCATTGTGTTTGGTCATTTCATAATAGTTCATCATACACATTAATTTATACATTCCCAAAAAAACTGGTGGTGATCCTAACCTACAAGATAAAATTATAATTGTATAGATTCCAATATGTGTAAACAGTTTTGCTGGAACTCAGCCACAGCCCAATGCTCAGTAACAACATTAGGCTGTCTCATTCAAATAATAATAATAATAATAACAAACAAGAACTGGTGGGACCACAAAACAGACTAAGTAATAGAAAATGAAGAAGCTAAAATGCTCTGGGACTTTAGAATTCAAACAGACAAGTACCTGCCACACAACACCCCAGACTTAAC